AAAAAATGTATTTGACTTAATTTCCTTTTGTGATGGGACATCAGAGCCTTGATACAAGGTCTCGGTGCGTCAAGACACCATTCTCAACAATATTTGTATGAATTCTTTACATCTTGGGCTTTCGCACAGCAGGTTAATCACCAGCTGCAGTAAATCTGGACAACCGAAAGGTTGACATGTATTGTCGAAGGCTTTCATGGCCAGAATCATTGGGTGGTTGTAGGTTTTTTCGGGCTATATGGCCATGTTCTAGAGGCATTCTCTCCTGACATTTCGCCTGCATCTATGGCAAGCATCCTCAGAGGTAGTGAGGTCAGTTGGAAGTAGGAAAATGGGTTTATATATCTGTGGAATGACCAGGGTGAGACAAAGGACTCTTGTCTGCAGGAGCTAGGTGTGAATGTTTCAACTGACCACCATTTGATGGTCTGGCAATGCCTGGGACAATCTTTTGTTGAGAGGTGATTAGATGTCCTTGATTGTTTCCTCTCTGTTGTTTTGCTGCTGTAATTTTAATGTTTTTTTAATACTGATGGCCAGATTTTGTTCATTTTCATGGTTTCCTCCTTTCTGTTGAAATTGTCCACTTGCTTGTGGATTTCAGTGGCTTCCCTGTGTAGTCTGACATGGTGGTTGTGAGAGTGGTCCAGCATTTCTGTGTTCTCAAATAAAATGCCGTGTCCAGCATAAAATGCTGATTTCTCTGGTTGAAGTAGTCTGCAGTGCCTTTCATGTTCCTTGATTCGTGTTTGGGCAATGCTGCGTTGGGTGGTCCCTATGTAGACTTGTCCACAGCTGCATGGTATATGGTAGACTCCTGGAGTCTACAGCGCCCAAACACAAACATGGCCATATAGCCCAAAAAAACCTACAACAACCCAGAAAGGTTGGCAGTTCGAAACCCAGGTCAGGGTGAGCTCCTGACCTTCAGCCCAGCTCCTTGCCCATCTAGCAGATTGAAAACGGAAATGTGAGTAGATAAATAGGTACCACGTTAAAGTAGGGAAGTACTTAGGCACAGTGATTCTATCAAAAAGGAGGAAATTTACAAACAAAAAAGCTCTTCGGCAGGGAAAATGGAGCAACAGCAACCCCTGTGGCCAGAACTGAGCACAGCCTCCAAGATGCCAAAAGATGGGAAATTAAAAAGCACTTTAAAGAAATAGGTAAATCCAATTAGGTAAGAAGATAAGCAGGAGCAAAAATAGTCCAGGGTAAAGTTCAGCAAAGGCCATAAAAACAAAGTCCACATTTCTCTAATATAATTCAGAGGCATGAGTATGCATTCATACAATCCAAGAATCATGAAACAAGAAATGCTTAGACAAGAATCTTCCAAGCAAGGTTTCCATGAGACAAGGACGAGAACTTCACTTGATTCCAAACGATGCTTCATCTGACTATATTTCCCATACTTGGAACTTTTATCCCCTTGTTAAGCTATTCCATGCACTCAAAAATTGGTTTCGCTTTAATTGAGATTCCCTTATCTTTTTCTGTCGGATCCTGACAGACCACCAAAGCCACTGTTTGGTTTGCCTGTTTTGACTAATCTCCTGCCGCCTATCTATTTGGTCATTAAGTTTTGCAGCTGGGCCAGGTGCCTAGTTCTTTTCAAACCCCAAATCCTGGGAACTCTCTGGTAGAAATTCAGGAAGTACACTATCATCCCCACACCCTTCAGGGACATTCTCATGTGAAACTACACTTTGCACAGGGGTCTCCTGGTTCTTCTCTGCATCAGTATCATTGACCAAACCATTGCCATCTTGAAATTCATTGGCATCACTTCCCACATCCAAAGCACCCTGATCCTGAAAGACAATGACAGGCTGAACTCCAACAGCAGGTAAGAGACAGTCTTAACAGTCTGAGAGTCTAATGGAATGTGAGCAGTCTCAGATCTGATCATGTGGTCTCTAGCCCCTCCCACAACCTTAAGAAACATAGAGTGAAGGGAAAGCTGCATACCAAAACATACATATACAATACTAGCCATCCCCTGCAACGCGTTGCTGTGGCTCAGTCTGGTGATTTGGGAAATAGAGTAATGGTTTCTAATATATGTAATTCCTTTATGCTTGTGAGTAAACAGTATTCCTTGTTGTTTCTNGTTTCCTCACAGAGATTCCATTCCTACATATTCAAAAGGGAGAGGAGGCAGTGGCTAGCAGGAGGAGGAAAGACAAAGCCCTTTTGGGAAACATGCATAGGGATGTGGTGGGGAAGGAATCCCTCAGCTAATCCTATCTCTAGTCTAGCTACTCATTGAGGACTGGAGACTTGATGACACAAGAGACGTACAGTCCAGGGATGAAACCCAACACACCTGAACCCCAGAACCAGGCTTATGGGCAATGTCGTACCCATAAACAGCAAGCAATCACACAATACAGGACCCAGGTTGTGAGGGCAAGGCGCCACTGCTGCTTCTCTTAAACTCTCCTTCCCTTTGCTGCCCAGGGACTGGCCATCTTGTGGCTTCCTTAGTGGCTCCTCCCAGAATCCCCTCCTTGCCAAGGCAGGTCCAGTCAATGCTGCCCCTTTGGTGACCCTCCACCAGCAGCTGTCCTGGACTTATGACTAGGAAGCATGCAGGAAAAGATGTCAACTGGTTGCTTGGATTTCGTTTATTGGTCTTGCCTACTCTGTTTTTTATGTTGTGGCAGCTTTTTATTATTTTCACTTGGTACTTTACTGCTGTTTTATTGTGTGGTTGGAGCACTGTGATGGATGGAAAGGGATGCAGGTAAGTGAGGAAGTAGATAAATGCATCTCCTGAGACTTCATTCTGCAGGAACTGAGCAGATGCCTCCTTTGAACAGCTGGATTCCATCTTCAGAAACACCGGGTCATATTGAGGGCACCGCAGGTTACAGCCCTGTAATGTTTTCTTTCCCTCCCTCTCCAACCAGGTGTAGTTTTATCTCACTCCACTGTTTCTGGATCTTTCCATTTCCCATCATTTCTATTCTTCCACACCTTTGGAAGCATAGGTTTTCCCTTGTGGATCAGTTCTCAGTTTCCTTCTCTGTCTCTTTCTCCTTCCCTCTCTGCTCTGTGCAGGTTTGCTAGACTGCTGCGCGAGGTGCCTTGTTGGGGCCCCCGTTGCCTCTCTGGTAGCCACTGGCCTGTGTTTCCTAGGAGTGGCCCTCTTTTGCGGCTGTGGACATGAAGCACTCACAGGCACAGAGCATCTGATCGAGACCTACTTCTCCAAAAACTACCAGGACTATGAGTACCTGGTGGATGTGTGAGTATTCCCCTACTCCCTCCACAGTCAGGGGCCAGTCCTTGAGCTGACTGGCTCAATCAAGTGCAGAAAGCACTGGAACCCTATTGTGTATGTTGCACGGTTGAGATGGGGTTGGGTTCCTCAGGGTGCACAATATGCTCAACACATGTCACAAGGACTCAGCAACCCTCCCTGCCAAGCTTGAGGGAGGGTTTAGAGCCTAAGGTGTCAGAGCAAGGAGAACCCTTTTGTTTTGGCCAGGTTTCCTACCAAGTCAGAATGGGGTTGGTGCCTCTGCTTTGGAGAAGGCCCTCCTTGATCTGAGCAGGATGAGCCAAACATCGGAAGGCAGGAATAGATCGGCCTGACCTCTTGGCCCATCTAAAATCCCTCTGCTGTGGCATGACTTGAGGCTGTTGGGGAATCTGAGCTGTTAGGCTCAAAAATAAGCCTCAGTTGGGGTGATTCCACCATAAATATAGCAGAGTACCAGAGATAAATTTCATAACGAGCAGAAACTTAAATGCGGTGAGCTAGGATAATCTTCTATTCCTTAGGATGGCACAGAATTGCAGAGTCAGAACTTTAGGTTCAAAAGTATTTATTGAAGTAAAAGAAATACATTCTTGATAGAAAAGGTTTTGGAGCCAACTAGCTTACTAAATCTCATCTCCTAAAGAGGTAAAAGGGTAAAAAGTTAAAAAAAAACTCCATGCAGCTACATTTTGCCTAAAGAGAGAGGCAAAATGCATCCTCACTGGAAGGAAGAAAAGGCAGAAGAGAACAATGGCGGAAACCACGTAGTCCACCCAGGGCATCTACATAGTCCACCCAGGGCACCCATCTAAAATCCCTCTGCTGTGGTGTGACTTGAGGCTGTTGGGGAGTCTGACCTGTTAGGCTCAAAAATAACCCTCACTTGTGGTGATTCCACCATAAATATAGCAGAGTGCCAGAAGTAAACTTCATAACCAGTAGAAACGTATGTGAGATGAGCTAGGATAAGGTTCTATTCTTAAGATAGCACAGGAGTCCCAACGTTAGGTTCAAAAAGAATTTATTAAAGTAAAAGAAAAAGCATTCTTGATAGAAAAGGTCTTGGAATGAACTATTTATTTATTAATTATTTATTTACTGCTTTTATATACTGCCTTTCTCAGCCCAGAGGCGACTCAGGGTGGTTCACAATTGGCAACAATTTGATGCCTCAACAATTATAAACAAATAAAACAAAGTATTGTCGAAGGCTTTCATGGCCAGAATCACTGAGTTGTTGTAGGTTATTTCGGGCTATATGGCCATGTTCTAGAGGCATTCTCTCCTGATGTTTCACCCTGCATCTATGGCAAGCATCCTCAGAGGTAGCATCCTCAGAGGTAGGTACCTCTGAGGATGCTTGTCATAGATGCAGGCGAAACGTCAGGAGAGAATGCCTCTAGAACATGGCCATATAGCCTGAAAAAAACCTATAACAACCCAAATAAAACAATCATAAAATACTATTAAAAATATTTAGCATAAAATATAATATAAAAACCATACAAAGCCATAAAAACATTGTCGTGAGCGTCTCCTTGTCAAGTCATTATTCAATTGCATCATCAAGTCGTTCCATGATTTTGTATAATTATGCTGCATTTGGGAAGCACTATCTTATTAAATCTCATCTTCTAAAGAGGTAAAAGAGTAAAAAGACCATGCAGCTACATTTTGCCTAGAGAAGGGCAAAATATGCACCCTCCTATGTAGAAAGAAAAGTAGAAGAGGCTGGAAAATGGTGGAGACAACATGGTCAACACCAGGACACTATGAATACCTTTCAAAAGGAAGTTCCATCACAGAATTCCATTTCTACATCATCAAAGGGGAGGAGGCAGAGTAAAGACAAAGTTTTTTTGGGGGGAAAACATGCATAGGAATGTGGGGTGGAGGGATCCCTCAGCCTAATCCTATCTCTAGCCTAGCTACCCATTGAGGTCTGGAAACTTGATGACACAAGAGACTTGTACAGTCCAGGAATGAAACCCAACACAAACATCAGAAGGCAGGGATAGATTGGCCTGACCTCTCAGCCCATCTAAAATCCCACTACTGTGGCATGACTTGAGGCTAAAGAAGCAGGGTTTGATCCCCCTTTTGCTGCCTGCCAGGAATTTGTCTGAGAAGCTCTTGCACCCCAAGCACGTGGTCTGCTGCTTGTCGGAAGCCTAACTAGGGAAGGTGACAACCTAGCGCCCTTCTCTCCTTTCTCTCCCTTTTCTTGCCCCTCTGCAGGATCCATGACTTCCAGTACGCCATTTACGGTGTCGCCGGCTTCTTCTTCCTCTTTGGAGCCCTCCTGCTGGCCGAAGGCTTTTACACCACGGGCGCTGTCAGGCAGATCTTTGGCGACTACAAGACCACCATCTGTGGCAAGGGCCTGAGCGCTACGGTAACAGGGGGCCAGAAGGGGAGGGGTTCCAGAGGACACCGGCAAGCTCACTCTATGGAGCTGCTCTGTCAGTGTCTGGGAAAGTGGCTAGGACATCCTGACAAGGTGATCTCATCTGCCTGCCCCTATCCCCCCTTGTTCCTTTCCAGCTATCCCACACCATCACAACCCTTGGCGCCACGAGGGGCATGAGACTGCAGCCCTGTCCAGAGCAGCCTCCCAGAGCAGCCCACCGAAGGGAGGGCCTCCCTGAAAGAAAATGGCACTATAGAGGCTACCCCTCCCTAGCGCCGCTGCTCCAACCCCTTGCCTTTTCCTTCCTTCCTTCCTCCCTCTGTCCGTCCTCTGTCCCTCTCTCCCTCCCTCCGTTTAGACCAGGTGCATCCCTTATTCCCATTCCATTAGAGCCCATGCCCCTTGTCTTCACTGTTTCATTCACTCCCCTGCTTTTCCACCCCCCACCCCCAATTGTGCCAACCCCTGTTTTGATGTCCCCTTGCTTACTTTGTCTTGGGGAATCAGAGCTGTTAGGCTAAAAAATAACCCTCAGTTGTCAAAAAAATCCATGCAGCTACCTTTTGCCTAAAAAGGGAGGCAAAATGCATCCTCACTGGTAGGAAGAAAAGGTAGAAGAGACAATGGTGGAGATCACATGGTCAACCAAGGGCAATAAGATGTAAAAGAGGAAGTTCCCTCACAGAGATTCCATTCCTACATCTTCAAGGGGGAGCAGGCAGTGGCTAACAGGAGGAGGAAAGACAAAACTCTTTTGGGAACCATGCATAGGAATGTGGGGAAGGAATCCCTTAGCCTAATCCTATCTCTAATCTAGCTACTCATTGAGGACTGGAGACTTGATACAAGACTTGTACCGCCCAGGGATGAAACCCAACACTTTGTAATGGCCACCTTTGTCCAAAGAAATGAGGGGCTGTATCCAAATATGCCCCTGGAGCAAGAGCAGAGCCAGGAAGCATCTATCAGCCATTACTGATGAGGATGGGCCCAGTTTCCCCAGGGAAATAGATTCACCTTTTTAGAGCCAAAGTAGATGTGGCAAAAGAGAAGCAGTTGCAAACCAAACGTGAGCATCTGACACCTCAATTTGGACCACCTGTGTGACCGGTGGAGGTGTTTAAATGACAGGCAAGCCCCCACCTCCATATAACTGACTTGTGTGGCCTTGTAGGCTTCCTCTGCAAAGGCAGGAGAACCTGAAGCTGGTTTGCCCCAACCAGATCCATAGAACAAGCTGGGATAGTCCCCGAGCAGTGAACTGTGCTGTTAGAAAAACAGACTTTGCCTGTGACTCAAATGGGCATTTCTGAGCCTGTCCCCTTTGTCCTTAAAGCCCTTGTGCTGCTAATGTAAAATGCCTGGATGCTCCAGACACATTCCCTCAGCTGGAGAGGACAGGAGTGTCCTACATTATTTCCTCACCAGAAATAATCTAGCCAGTTTTCAATGGTGCATTCCACATATGGACAGTGAGAAGAAAATATCCAAGTTCCTCCTCAGCCAAAGAGAGAGCAGAGCAGGAGGGTTTGGGCTGCTTTGGGGGGGAGGTGTGTTTGTTTTTTTTTGTGGGGTCAAGACTAAATCTCGCACTCCCCTCCTTGGATTTTCAGTAATAGGGAACACTAGGCCAATCCCTTCATCAGAGATTGGTCTCAGAAATGCCCATTTAAATCAGAATCCAACCCTTCTCCCAGAAACCAAGGCAGGGCCAAGCAGCATGCCATTTTCTTTCAGGATCCAATCATCTGTGCACCGCTTGGGCCGGGTGCTCCACATCAGTCTTCCATCCATGTTCTCTAAGTCACACACGCAACCTGGGCCACTATCCACACTTTGGAGGCACCCAAGGCATGCTCCATGAGGGCTATGAGTAAATTCCCAGTTGTATGAGGGAGTAGGGCTAGAAACAGCCATGTATCTTGCAGATCTCCATTAACAGAAGGTGCCTCTCCTTGACCATCTGGCCCATTCAAAACCCACAGCCTGCACAATACAAATGTGCTCCTCAGTCTCATCTTTAGCACCAGATGGATGTCCTCGTGGGCATCTTCTCTGTGCTGGTGGCTCAAAGCCCTGGCAGCTGGCCTGGGCACAAACCTTGCACTCTGAATCCTGGGTGGATTTGTCAGCCACTTCAGGTGTGTGATCCCAGGAAGACATACACTTCCAGAACTCCTCCATTGATGAATTTAGCGAAAGGCCTTGGGCTGTCTTTATGAGTCGGTGCTCTCTGTGGCATTTCTGCCTAGCCTTTCAATATGACAATTGGCCAGAAGTGCCTCGTTGCCATTCCGCAATGGGATAGGGCTTTCTGATGTCCCTTCGGCCTGCAGATAGGTCTCCAGTCTCATGCTCCTGTGGCAGAAAGTGCCCGCCAGCCCATTCACAGTTCCGCCCTGTCTCCCTCGTTTCAGTTTGTGGGTATCACCTACGCCTTGGCCGTCCTCTGGCTCCTGGTGCTGTCCTGCTCTGCGGTGCCTGTCTACATCTACTTCAACACCTGGACGACGTGCAACTCCATCGCCAACCCCAGCAAGACCGCTGCCGGCATTGGCAACCTCTGCACTGATGCCAGGATGTACGGTGAGTGGGGCACCGTTGGAACCTCACAGACACTGAGCCTTTCTTTAGGGCCAAAGTCCTGGAGATGGCCCTAAACATGACTCATGAAACAGTCTGTTCCAGTGTGGAAAAGATGGGATGGACTGGGCTGGAAGAAGTGGGAAACATATACTGGCAGGTGGATGCTAGTCCTTGGCCAGAAGGCAAATAGGCAAGGTCAACAGACAGGCAAAGGCCCGGCGTTTCTCCAAATATGGCTTGACCCAGCACATGGTCCCCTTCTGTCCCTTCACATCCCATAAAACATCCATGCCGTACAGGTGGAGCAGGACTCTGTTGTGAAGGTGGACCCCCTTCTGCCCAGCCTCATTTTAGTTTGGATTTTCTTCCCTACCCCTTTCAAAAAACAGGAGTCCTGCCCTGGAACGCCTCCCCAGGAAGAGTCTGTGGCCAGAGCCTCCTCTCCGTCTGCAAGACATCTGAGGCAAGTTCCTATTTTCTCTTCCTGAACTTTTCATGCAAACAGAGGAGGAATAAACAACTGGGCCCAATCCTCAGGGCCAACCCAGATACAGGCACTGAGGGTGGTGGTGATGGGACCAGTAATAGCATTACCTGCTCTCACTTTGGCCACAGGAGCAACAGTGCACTCAGTGCCAGGATGGAGGGGATGGGAAATGTGGGATGAGGCCATACTTTGAGGGCGGGCTCCGGGGCTGCTCTCCTCCTTATGCTGGGCTCCATCTGGGGCTGACTCCTCCACCATGACTCCCTCTCTCAGTCCTTGCCTTCCACCAAAGGCCCAGGACCAATGTTTGTGTCATTTCTCTGCAGTTCCAGATGACTTTCCACCTGTTTATTGCTGCCTTTGTGGGAGCTGCAATCACTCTGGTGGCCCTGGTAAGCCTGGCCTTGAGCAGCAATTGCAACGTTCTGTTGGGCGAGTGGGCTTATTAACAAAATACCCTTCTCATAAACGTACAGTAGAGTAATTTATCAGTAGTAGCATGACCCAGCAACAGTATCCCAAAGTGATAAAAATAACAAAAACACAAAGATCAATGTTATCTCTTCCTTAGGAGGCTTTTCTTTGTAGTAAAATAATATAGTTGCATGATTTACAATAACAAGGTTGTGTTTCCACAACACAAATGAAGTTCTTTATACTTCCTTCTTTACTTCCATGCTGGGCTTCTTTCTCATGTAGATAAACAGCTTTGCTCTCTCAGAGTCTCTTCTGAAGCCAAACTTACACAGGAGCTTCACACTGTAGCCTTTTATACAGCAGCCTTCACACTGGAGCTTTACACACGAGGCCTTCAACCTGGGACTTCCATGCTGGGCTTCGTTCTTATGCAGATAAACAACCTCGCTCTCACACCGAAATTACACAGGAGCTTCACATGGTAGCTTTACACACAGCTTTACACACAAGGCTTTTAACCTGGGGCTTCTTTCACTGAAGCTTCTCATACCAGGCCTTCTCACACAGAGGCTTCTCTCAGAGACTAAGACCTACCTCATACTGTGAAGCCTTCTCACAGACTGAGACCTTTCTCCCACTGAGGTTTAGCTCAGACTGACAGCTACTAAGCTACACACCTGCTTATATAGAACTGCAGCTTTTGCTGAGTCATTGCATCCATTAACGCTTTCAGTGCTTGACTCACATTTTTGTAATTAATAATACCTAGTTAATTTTTAATTTTTAACCCGGAGCACTTTCACCAAAGCTTCTCACACACTGAGGTTTACCTCACACCTCTCAGGACGACACTAGCTTGGGCCCACTGACTCTTATCAGTCTTCGGCCTACTAACTCTTTCAGTGCTTGACTCACATTTTTGTAATTAAAAATACCTAGTTAATTTTTAATATTTCTGACATGTTCATAATCCCCTGAGGGTTGAAGGTGGGGCCCCTATTGCTAGATCTGAGATGGGAGGGGTCACTGGGGTCCAATGGCGTGGGCCATTTCCGTAGACCATTTCTCTCACCTCAAGCTCCTTGAGCCACCAGACTAAAGGCTGATAGGATGGCACCAAGGGAACAACATTTGAAAAGCAACCAGCCAACAAAATGGCTCAGCATATAACCCAACTTTGGCCTCCAGTGTTTTGGACTTCAACTCCCACAATTCCTAACAGCCTGTAGGCTGTTAGGAATTGTGGGAGTTGAAGTCCAAAACACCTGGAGGGCCAAAGTTTGCCCATGCCTGATGTAACCCTAACATGCAAAGACAGAGGGTGCATGCCATGTTTTCTCGTGATATCTCGTTTTCTCTCTTTCCAGCTCACTTTCATCATCGCCGCCACCTACAACTTTGCAGTCCTGAAGCTGATGGGTCGGGGCACAAAGTTCTAAGCAGCGAGGGAGAGGCACCGTCGCCACCATTGCAAGATGCTCTCCCCTCCTCTAACTGCCAGGCTTTAACCCGAGACGGCTGCTCCTCCTCCGCGCCAAGTCTCCTCCTTTAACGCCGCTGCCTGACTCCCCGTTTCCCCCCTTTTCCCCTCTAGAAGTTGTTTGGAGCGGAGCGAGCAAGCGCAAAGGGAGACTCCATGCACCCCAAACACACCCCTCTCCAGGGCGGATGGACTGTTGCTCCGTGACCCCTTGGCTCTCTCTCTGTCTTGGCCTCACAGCGGCCCAGGGCACCAAAATGATTCCCAGATAGCAAGACAGCGGGTCTGTTTCCTTATTCCTCTCCAGAGAAACCCCATCTGTTATGGGCCGAGGCCGTCCCTGGCTCAGAGAGAGAAGGGCATGAGCTCAAGAAGAAAGAAGAACTGGACATTGCTGGTCACTGCTTGGGTCAGCTGAGGGTGGGGGGTTGGAGCAAGGATCTTTCCAAGATGGGAAGAGAGCACTGACCCCAACCAACCCAAGGCCAACGGGAGCTCCTTCTCCAACCAAAAGCAGGAAGGAGCTTGGAGACCTCTGTCTCATAGTTGTGGAAGGTTGTCCTTTTCTTCACACATTGAGCAGGGAAGAGCCAAACCATTCCTCTCAGGTACCCAATGCTGCCATTACTAACCTGTTGGGCACAAACTGGTCTTCCCCAAGGAAGGGCTCAGCCATAACCAGCCATTTTTGAGCTTGCAGCACGAGAGGCTCCTTTGCCAAAGCGTCCTCCTTTTTGAGGGGCTCTCCTTGCCTTGTGCCTTCCCCTCTTCTGTTGGGACCTTCACAATGGTGCTCTTCTCTCCCTTTGCGTATACCTTTTGCAGTAACACTGTGATGTCTTACTCCCCCTGATGCCATGTTCATCATGAGGGCTCGTCCCCAGCCTGCCCCACTGACTTGGAGCTTCGTTCGCTGCACAAATTGTCTAGAATGGGAGAGTCGCAGGATGAATTACGAGAACTAGAGCAGGCATGGGCAAACTTTGGCCCTCTAGGTGTTTTGGACTTCAATTCCCACAATACCGGCTGTTAGGAATTGTGGGAGTTGAAGTCCAAAACACCTAGAGGGCCAAAGTTTGCTCATGCCTGAATTAGAAGGTCCTCATCTACTTGCATTCCATTATTCCCTTTTGGTAGAAAATTCGCCCTGCTGGTTGCATAGGGTTTATTTACTGGCACAACCAAAATCCTATGGAGCAGCATCAACCATAGGTTTCCAAAGAGGGAGGCAAGTTGAAGAGGTACGGTGTGAATCAGGGAGGAATACTGAGGCCATCCACACGCACAGGGACCAGGAATGCGGGCGGCAGATTGGGACCCATGGGAGTGGGAAGGCAAGGATACTGTCCAGATTCGGGACCAGAAGGGACACCCTCCATCCCTTTCTCTATCACTTTGGTTTCAGTTAACACATAACCAGAACTCATGCTCCCCCCCCCCCCCCTTTCCTCTCCAACTCCCCTCCTTCTCCGGGAAATAAATACAAGGAGAAAAGAAGTAATTAATAAGCTGAAAGTCTTCACTCGTGATCTTGAATTTCAACTTTTTTTTTAACCAAACATAAGGGATTGTGTTTTTAGAGACTTACCTTACAAGGTGTATTTTATAAAAATTAAAGGAAATAAAAGTTTAGAATGTTCTGAATGAGAACCAGTTCTTCTTGCCGTTCCTCCCAGAGTGTTTTGTTGCCTGTGTTTGTGTCCAGGATTAACTCAGGCCCCCTTCCACCTCCTGCCCCATTGAAAAGGGAGGGAAATTGGGTTGACTGGGGGCTTAGACATGACCTAAACCTTCAGAGCAGAAGTTTTCAAACTAGGGGTCAGGACCCCTGGGGGGTCACGAGGGGGGTGTCAGAAGGGTCACCAAAACCCACCAGAAAACATAGTATTTTCTGTTGGTCATGGGGGTTCAATGTGCCAAGTTTGGTTCAATTCCATCATTGACCAAGTTCAGAATGCTCTTTGAGTGGAGGTGAATGATAAATCCCAGCAACTACAATTCCCAAATGTCAAGGTCTATTTTCCCCAAACTCCACCAGTCAGGCATGTAGCGGGGGGGGGGGGGGGGCTTGAGGGGCGTCAGCCCCCCCCCCCGAAATTCTCATGGTGGTTCGCGAAAAGGCCTTACTGGTGCATTATTTAAACTGTTATGTTTATTCATATCATGATCTGATCACCATACTCAATATATCCCATATGCATGGGGGTATTGGGGTAATGATACAAAAGGTTTGCTAGGGTAGACCCTCTTTCATTCAGACTCAGCCCCCCCCCCCCGAAACTCAGCCCCCCCCCGAAAAAAATTAGCCCCCCCCCGAAACAAAATCCTGGCTACGGGCCTGCCACCAGTGTTCACATTTGTTCACAGTGTTCACACTTACCTGCCTGCCTGTTTGTTGTTCCAAATGGTTCCCCAGAAATACACCCCCCCCCCAACAGCTCACAGAACAGTAGAGAAAGTGCAGTGGTGATGTTTGCATTGCATGTATGGGATGTTTGACTAATACCTGCTATGAGGAGGAAGACGGCATGACTTTCTTTAAAGGGTAGCAGGAGTTTGAGGGTGGATGGGGGAGAGGAAAAAACTCTCAAACTTGTTGGAAACATAAATGCCCAATGTGGTGTGGAAGGAATGGCCATTTGACCAGAGAAAAACAAATCTGTTTGAATGAGTTTAATCTTCCTTAATCAACCTGGGGGTCGGAACCCCTGGGGGTCATGAGGGGGTGTCAGAGGGAACCCGAAAGACCATCAGAAAACACAGTATTTTCTGTTGGTCTCAGGGGTTCTGTGTCAGAAGTTTGGCTCAATTATATCTTTGTTGGGGTTCAGAATGCTCTCTGGTTGTAGTTGAACTATAAATCCCAGCAAGTACAGCTCCCACGTGTCAAGGTCTATTTTCCCCAAACTCTACCACCGTTCATATTTGGGCATATTGAGCATTCATGCCAAGTTTGGTCCACATCCATCATTGTTTGAGTCCACAGTCCTCTCTGGATGTAGGTGAACTACAACTCCAAAACTCAAGGTCAATCCCAACAAACCCTTCCAGTATTTTCTGTTGGTCATGGGAGTTCTCTGTGCCAAGTTTGGTTCAATTTCATCATTGACCGAGTTCAGAATGCTCTTTGAGTGGAGGTAAACAAGAAATCCCAGCAATTACAACTCCCAAATGTCAAGGTCTATCTTCCCAAAACTCCACCAGTGTTCACATTTGGGCATATTGGGTATTTGGGCCAAGTTTGGGGTGATTCCATGATAAATATAGCAGAGTACCAGAAGTAAACTTCACAACCAGCAGAAACTTACAAAGCGGGGAGGAGACAGTGGTTAGCAGGAGGAGTAAAGATAAAGCTCTTTTGGGAAACATGCATGGGAAAGTGGGGAAAGGAGTCCCTCAGCTTTGCTTTGTCTCTTGCTTAGCTACTCATCAGGGACTGGAAACTTGATGATACAAGATTTGTGCAGTCCAGGGATGAAACCCAACACCTACTCCTAATATAGTGGTCTCAATCTTCCTAATGCCACAACCCCTTAATGCAGTTCCTCATGCTGTGCTGACCCCAACCATAACATTATTTTTGATGCTACTTCATAACTGTAATTCTGCTACTGTTTGAATCATAATGTAAATATCTGATATGCAGGGAGTATTTTCATTTACTGGGTCAAATTTGACACAAATATCCAATAGGCCCAAATGTGAATACTAGTGGAGTTGTGGAGGGTAGGGGTGGGGGGAACTGATTTTGTCATTTGGGAGTTGTAGTTGCTGGGATTTATAGTTCACCTACAATCAAAGAGCATTCTGAACTCCACCAATGATGGAATTTAACCAAACTTGACACGCAGAACTCCATGGTCAATAGAAAATACTGGAAGCGTTTGGTGGGCATTGACCTTGAGTTTTGGAGTTGTAGTTCACCTACATGCAGAGAGCACTGTGGATGCAAACAAGGATAGATCTGGACCAAACTTGGCATGGATACTCAATATGTGCAAATGTGAACACTGGTGGAGTTTGGGGAAAAGAGACCTTGACATTTGAAGGGAAAAATGGGGAAAGTGAATGAGATAGAAACTGATGCATTTTTAAATGGGGAGAGGCCAAGGATCAATCAGGGCATGGGGAAGGGGCAGCTTATGGGAGGAGTAACCACTAGAGTGATGGGGAGGAGACTCACAGGCTGCCCAGAAGCCTGGAAAAGTGGCACTTGCCATTTCCTTGCTTTGTAAAAGTTGCTTTTCTGGACTACCTGAAACCTACAAGATGCAAAAGGCACCAAGAGAGAGCAGATGCAGAAGGGCCCACTCTCTCCAGGCTTGGCGTCCTGCTCCTGGGTGGCTTCTCATCTTCTGCTCCCCACCAAATGCAGTGAGGCCTCTGTTTTTCACACCCCACTTGTAGTGTAACGTGGGCCTCTGTCCCGGGTGTCTCAATGAGGCCATTGTCTCAGGCATTCTCTCTCTGTGAAGTGGGTGGGCATTTGGGATGGCGTTTGGGATCGGCTGAGAACCGTGGGCGAAGAGCAGAAGAGTAAACAAGGCAGACTCCTGCTGCCAAAGCCCGCTGACACTGGACCCAAGGCCGGGGGCATTTCTTTGGGAAGGAGCAAACTCTGGGAAGCAAAGAACCTTCCATCGCTACAATCCAACTTACTTTTGGGGCTCTTGCTGAAGCCGCTGGGTTTTGGAGTGGGCCAAAGAGACTGCATCACTCCCCTTTACCCTCTGAGGCAAAAATGACCATGCAAGGGGACATTTTGCATCCCTTTAATACATTCACATTTTTATTGGCTCAAATACAGACTGGTTGTGCCCCTTTCCCTTCCCACTCCTGTGTTGAGCTCAAGCAAATCGACCCCTATTTGCAGAACCGTGAAAAGTGGCAGGCAGCAGGGGAAGCAAGCAAGTGACTGGGAAGTCTATGTCTCCCACTGGCAAAACCAAGGAGCCCCCGGTGATGCAATGGGTTAAACCCTTTTGCCAGCAGGACTAAAGATCGACAGGTCTGAGGTTCAAATCTGGGGAGAGCGTAGATGAGCTCCCTCTGTCAGCTCCAGCTCCCCATGCGGGGACATGAGAGAAACCTCCCATAAGGATGGTAAAACATCAAAACATCCAGGCATCCACTGGGTACATCCTTGCAGATGGCCAATTCTCTCACACCAGAAGTGACTTGCAGTTTCTCAAGTCGCTCCTGACATAAAAACAATTGGCAAAACCCATGTCCATCCCAAAGTCTTCCTGGCTGCTGGACATACAGAGCCACATGAAGGCAGAAAGAAGTCTTAGGGGCCTCTAAGAGGGTCAGTGGATCCTGCATTTTTCTGGATGTGGAGGATGAAGAGAGCTGATGGGGAATCCTTCCAGACTGAAGTCTTCCAATTCAGTGATGTATCCTGCTGTTTCCAGCAGGGCCCAGCAGAGGGCACCCGGCTGTCACTCAAAGAGCAAAGCGGCGGGGTGGGGGGCTAGAATCTGCTCACTTGCTCCCCAGCAAGTGTGGTGGTGGTCAGCAAGAAAAGACTCCTCCAGGGTCACTGACTCCCTCAATAGTGGCCATTGGTGTGATAAAGCATTTTTCTCCCTGGACACAAGATATAAGATGGACAAAATTCAGCATCTTCTGCTCCACTGCAGGAAGATGGAGAAACCTGGGTTTAGCACGCTCATGTTAACCAGTTTGTGGCTCACGTGTGCCATCTCTCTGCTCATGCCCTCATATCCCAGGTCCATTTCCTGGCCTTACTTCTCAGGCAGGAGCACCACAACACTTGGGTAAGCTCTGGAGAAGTTGTGGTCAATGGGTGCTGTTGATCCCAGCAACCCTTTCCTGGCTAGTTAAGGGCAGAGTCAAGAAGGGGAAAGTTAGTGACAGTGTCCTCTCATTCTCTGGGACTCTTTCAGAATCTCAGGCTCAGGGGATGGTGGGGAAAGAGTCCGTCTTGCACTGCCCGAGAGCAGAAGACGTGGTTGCCACTCGCCACAGGTGGAACGGGTGGCTCAACCCCCGGGCCCTCTCTGGTGGCTCTTATCCACCATCCTCCTGCCCCAACAAGAGCAGATCTCAGCCTGCCAGCTCTGACCAGATGGAACGGTCCATTGCTGGGCCACCATCAGCAACAGGAGGACCTGGACTTGGCACCAGAGCGGAGGTCAATGGTATGTCCCATCACGCAGTGCTCCATCTGCTCCTCCACAGCCAGCACCTGCCGCACAGCCTCCTCGAAGGCCACAGCCACGTTGGTGTCATCCTTGGCACTGGTCTCCAGGTAGGGGTAGTTGCCATGCTCCAGGCACCAGGCCCGGGCCTCCTCGGGCCCCACCGCCCGCTCCAGCTTGTCCACTTTATTACCCAGGACCACAAAGGGGAAGCGGTCAGGGTCCCGGACGTTGGCGTAGCAGACAAACTCCTTCCGCCAGTGGCCCAGGTTCTCGAAGCTCTGCCGGTCATCCACGCTGAAGGTCAGCAGGCAACAGTCGGCCCCCCGGTAGAAGGGCGTCCGTAGGCTCTTGAAGCGCTCCTGACCGGCTGTGTCCCAGATCTGGAGTGTGACAAATCGCCCGTCCACCTCCAGGTCCCGGTTGAGGAACTCCACCCCGATGGTGTGGAAGGCCTGCGAGTCGAACCGATTGGTCACGTAGCGGTTCATCAGGGAGCTCTTCCCAACACCTCCGTCCCCAAGGAGGATCACCTTCAGCAGCAGGGACTTCCCACTCATGGTGCCGGCAGTGGCAAGGCCTAGACCCAGGGGAAAGAACAGTGATAGAGATGGAAAGGGCCTCCACTGGCCTAGACCCAGGGGAAAGCACGGCACTAGAGCAGGAAGGGGTTTCTGCAGGCCTAGACCCAAGGGAAAGCACTAGAGCAGGAAAGAGCTTCCGCAGGCCTAGATCCAGGAGAAAGCACAGCACTAGAGCAGGAAAGAGCTTCCTCAGGCCTAGATCCAGGGGAAAGCATAGCACTAGAGCAGGAAGGGGTTACTGCAGGCCTAGACCCAAGGGAAAGCACAGTGCTAGAGCAGGAAGGGATCACTGCAGGCCTAGATCCAGAGGAAAGCACAGCACTAGAGCAGGAAGGGGTTTCTGCAGGCCTAGACCCAAGGGAAAGCACAACGCTAGAGCAGGAAAGAGCTTCCGCAGGCCTAGATCCAGGGGAAAGCACAGCACTAGAACAGGAAGGGGTTTCTGCAGGCCTAGACCCAAGAGAAAGCACTGCAGGCCTAGACCCAGGGGAAAACACAGTACTAGAGCAGGAAGGGGCTTCCTCAGGCCTAGATCCAGGGGAAAGCACAGTGCTAGAGCAGGAAGGGATCACTGCAGGCATAGATCTAGGGGAAAGCACAGCACTAGAGCAGGAAGGGGTTTCTGCAGGCCTAGACCAAAGAGAAAGCACCACAGGTCTAGACCCAGGGGAAAACACAGTACTAGAGCAGGAAGGGGCTTCCTCAGGCCTAGATCCAGGGGAAAGCACAGTGCTAGAGCAGGAAGGGATCACTGCAGGCCTAGATCCAAGAGAAAGCACAGCACTAGAGCAGGAAGGGGTTTCTGCAGGCCTAGACCCAAGGGAAAGCACAACGCTAGAGCAGGAAAGAGCTTCCACAGGCCTAGATCCAGGGGAAAGCACAGCACTAGAACAGGAAGGGGTTTCTGCAGGCCTAGACCCAAGAGAAAGCACTGCAGGCCTAGACCCAGGGGAAAACACAGTACTAGAGCAGGAAGGGGCTTCCTCAGGCCTAGATCCAGGGGAAAGCACAGTGCTAGAGCAGGAAGGGATCACTGCAGGCATAGATCTAGGGGAAAGCACAGCACTAGAGCAGGAAGGGGTTTCTGCAGGCCTAGACCAAAGAGAAAGCACCACAGGTCTAGACCCAGGGGAAAACACAGTACTAGAGCAGGAAGGGGCTTCCTCAGGCCTAGATCCAGGGGAAAGCACAGTGCTAGAGCAGGAAGGGATCACTGCAGGCATAGATCTAGGGGAAAGCACAGCACTAGAGCAGGAAGGGGTTTCTGCAGGCCTAGACCAAGAGAAAGCACCACAGGCCTAGACCCAGGGGAAAACACAGCACTAGAGCAGGAAGGGGCTTCCTCAGGCCTAGACCCAGGGGAAAACACAGTGCTAGAGCAGGAAGGGATCACCGCAGGCCTAGATCCAGGGGAAAGTACAGCGCTACAGCAGGAAGGGAGCTCTGCAGGAATATACCCAGGGAAAAGCACAATGCTAGAGCAGGAAGGGATCTCTGTGGCCACTGGCCAGGACTCTGGGTCCCCAAGAAGCCTGCTGGCCAAGGTGCTGAACCCATTGGAGAAACTGGGCTCAGCCCCTAAATTTGGTTCTTGCAAAGTCAATTGATGTGCAGCTCATGGGTGGGCTCCCTCCTGTTCAGCTACCTTTGCAAGCTGAACCCACTGGTGGTTGTCACTGAAGGTTGACTTCCTGTTTCCATGTTTGTTTACACCCGCCTCAGGAATTTCCCTGTTTTTGAGTGTTCCTCTTTATTTACTGTCCTGATTTTGGAGTATTTTTAATACTGGCAACCAGATTGTGTTCATTTTTATGGATTCTTCCTTTTTTTTGAAATTGTCCACATGTTTGTGGATTTCAGTGGTTTCTCTGTGTAGTCTCACATGAATAGTATTGTCGAAGGCTTTCATGGCTGGAATCACTGGGTTGTTGTAGGTTTTTCGGGCTATATGGCCATGTTCTGGAAGCATTCTCTCCTGATATTTTGCCTGCATCTATGGCAAGTATCCTCAGAGGTTGTGAGTCCCTACAACAACCCAGCATTGAATAGCTTTACAGTTTCAAAACCTGGCTGCTTCCTGCCTGGAGGACTCCTTTGTTGGGAAGTGTTAGCTGGCCCTGATTGTTTCCTGTCTGGAATTCCCATGTTTTCTGAGTGTAGTTCTTTATTTACTGTCTTGATTTTAGAGTTTTTAAAACTCAAAATCCACGTATGTGGACAATTTCAACAGAAAGGAGGAAACCATGAAAATCAACAAAATCTGGTTACCAATATTTTTTAAAAAAACTAGGATCCATACAGTAAATAAATAACACTCAGAAAATGGGAATTCCAGACAGGAAACAATCAACACCTCCCAACAAAAGATTCCCCCAGGTAGGAAGCAGCCAGGCTTTGAAGCTGCTAGGCAATAATAATAATAATAATAATAATAATAATAATAATAATACTTTATTTATATGCCACTCTATCTCTCCAAGGTGGACTCAGGGCAGTTTCCAAGTAACATCACTGAAACATACAAAGTAAACATAAAATTCACAAAACAACATAAGCATAAAATTATCACAGTAACATGTGTATATTAAAAATAATTCTGCTTATTCAGAGCAATTAAAAAGCTGGGCCAAGGCTAGTGCAAACTCAAAATATGAGGGAGCCGGGAATTAAGTACAGTGCTATACAGGCTAATGGCAATAGCAGGTACGGGTCTGTGGCTGCTCATTCCCAGGGCCTATTAGAGGGATGGCCGGGGTAATAGGTAAGCATCCAAGGGCATATTCAACACTGTTTGGGTTGGACTAGAACTGGTCATTCTCAAAGGCTTGTTGAAACCACCAGGTCTTACAAAAGGAGGGGAGGGATGGGCCTGCCTTATTTCCCTTGGAAGGGTGTTCCAGAAGCATTGGGCCACCATCGAGAAGGCCCTCTCTCGTCTCCACCAACCGTACTTGTGACGGTGGTGGGAGTGAGAGGAGGGCCTCCCCGGAAGATCTTAGAGTTCATAGGAGGAGATGTGATTGTGAAGATAGGTGGGGCCCAAACTGTTTAGGGTTTTATTGGTCATGACCTGCACCTTGAATTTGGCTCGGCAACTTATCGGCAGCCAATGAAGCTGTTTTAAAATTCTCCCTATAGTTTGCTCCAGTAAGGAGCCTGGCTGCCGCCTGTTATACCAGTTGAAACTTCCAGGCCATCTTCAAGGGCAGCCCCACGTAGAGCGCATTGCAGTAGTCCAGTCTGGATGTAACCAATGCTAATCAAGGTGGACAATTCCAACATTTACAATGGCTTCAAGCAGATACGAGTACTTTCCCCCACCCTGGACATTACTCCCCAGATATATAAACCCCACTTGCCTAGTTTCTAACAGACCTCACAACCTCTGCCATAGATGTGGGTGAAACATCAGGAGAGAATGCTTCTGGCTCGGCAACTTATCGGCAGCCAATGAAGCTGTTTTAAAAGGCGCGTTGTATGCTCCCTATAGTTTGCTCCAGTAAGGAGCCTGGCTGCCGCCTGTTGTACCAGTTGAAACTTCCAGGCTGTCTTCAAGGGCAGCCCAATGTAGAGCGCACTGCAGTAGTCCAGTCTGGATGTAACCAATGCTAATCAAGGTGGACAATTCCAACATTTACAATGGCTTCAAGCAGATACGAGTACTTTGCCTCACCCTGGACATTATTCCACAGATATATAATCCCCACTTGCCTAGTTTCCAACAGATCTCACAACCTCTGCAGATGCCTGCCATAGATGTGGGTGAAACATCAGGAGAGAATGCTTCCCAGAAAACTCACAACATCCCAGTGATTCTGGCTTTAAGCAGAGTACATTCCCTCACCCTGGACATTATTCCACAGATATTTAAACCCCACTTGCCTAGTTTCCAACAGACCTCACAACCTCTGCGGATGCCTGCCATAGATGTGGGTGAAACATCAGGAGAGAATGCTTCCCAGAAAACTCAAAACATCCCAGTGATTCCGGCCGTAAAAAAAATCCACAGCTTTTCAAACTTTTGAGTGAGTTTGTTGCTGGAGGTGGAGAAAGGTCTTTCCCTTCTTTGCTTCTGCCCTTGGCGTGCTATAAACTCCATGACCCAAGAGGCCCACTTTCTGGGTGGATGATGGGAGGGGAAAGGCCGCCATTGAGACAATGCAGGGCTTGCTGTCCCCAACCCTCCATCAACCCTGGGCTATAGAAGATGCTTCATTTGGGTTAGGGATATAGTACAAAGGAAGCCAACTCAAGGAGGGTGGTTGACCCCTCCCTTGGGTTCCACTCAGGAGTTGTGATCCTGCAAGGAGGGATGATGGAGGGATGATGGAAGGATGATGCAGGGAGGGCCCGGTCTCCCCCCTACCCACTTGGCACCACCGGCTTACCTCTCCAAGGGGACGACGAGGGCCCTCCTCCCTTCCTTTGGACAGATCCAGAGGTGCGGGGGAGGAGGGGGAAGAAGCAGAGCGGACGCAGCGCGCATGCGTAGACAGAGCCAGCTGGAGCATCTCTCTCTCCCAATGAGAGAGAAGGCC